GTGTGTGTGTGTGATAATATATATATATATATATATATATATACATATACCAATCATTTAATATGTATATGGTAAATATTTATACACATGCTCACACATACATGCATATATGCACACACATACACAAATATACACATTGATACATACACATATCTATATATGTTCACTGGGCTATTATTTCTTTTTTAATCGTGTTTGGTTTCAGTATTAATTATAGTTGTTTAGAATTATAATTAAATTTATTTATTATTTTTAGAATTTATGGAACGCATGTCTGTAATTATACGCCTGTGTATACGCATATGTGCACATCTACTCGCATGCGTATGTAGGCATAAGTATGCGTATATATCAACACCTAGACGCGGGTATATGTACACTTAATTCTGTGCTTTGTTAGTAATAGAACATAAATGCTGAAGTTATTTAACTTTTTAAATATAATGTTTTACATATATATATATATATATATATATATATATAGTGTAACCCGGATATAAGAAACCCGGATATAAGAGAAACCCTGATATAAGAGAGATTTTCTCTGGTCCCAAATTAGAGCCTGTGTTAATGTATACATATAGACCAAACCCGGATATAAGAGAAACCCGGATATAAGATACTTCTTCTCCGGTCCCGACAACTCTCTTATATCCGGGTTACACTGTATATATATATATATATATATATATAAAGTACACAGTCTCGTACACCTACGCTTCATCCACGTATGTATATGCAATTGTTAAGTAGTGTATTTAATTAAAATAGGTGCATGCTTATTTATATCATATGTTATTGTTTATCGTTTATTTAATGTTTCATTTTTATTTAATGGTTAATATAGTTTATTTGTTTTTGCTTTGGTGTTATGTATTGAGAAATTAATTATGGTGTGTTAGATTTGTTCATTTTTTGGTCTTTGTGTGTGTGCATGTCCACATGTACTTGTACACACACGCGAATAGGTACGTACTTTATATTTGTTCGTTTATTTTTTATTAACAAATTAAGTTTACATTATATTTGTTTTTATTTATTTATTTAAAGCTTATATTATATATATATTAAATTTATATTAACCACCATAGAGATACCTCCCTGCCCCCCATTAAAATGTCTGATAGTCAACTTCCTGAGAGCAACTCCCTGCGTCTGCTCGGTCTCACGTTGACTGCTTACCTGAGATGGAACAAATACATTGAGTCAATTGCTTCTTCCACCGCGAGGAAAGTTGGCTCTCTGTGCCGCGCCAGGAAATTTTTCTCCCCGGAATCGATACTTCAAATATACAAAACAACCATTCGCCCTTGCATGGAGTATTGCTGCCATATATGGTCTGGGGCACCTTATGTTTACCTCGGAGTTCTTGACAAGATCTAGAGACGGATATGTAATCTAATTGGCCCTGATCTGGCGTCTCGTCCGCAGTCACTCTCTCACAGACGCGCCGTCGCCTCTCTCTGTCTTTTCTACAAATACTTTCATGGTAATTGCTCCGATGAGCTGCTTTCACTGGTTCCCAGACTCCATGAATTCAAGCGCCCTACGAGGCTGGCATCCCGCTCCCACCCTTACACTATAGAAACTTTTAAGTGTAGCCGTCTCTTCTACTCCAATAGCTTCATACCTCGCACCTCTCGCCTGTGTAACACCCTTCCCAATTACTCTTTCCCTGAGAGCTATAATCTCCAACTATTCAAATGTAATGTCAATCGACACCTCCAGTTGCCTTGATCTATCCACTATCCTTCTCCTCATCCTTTCTTCTATCACTCCTATCTGCTCTCGCTCCAAATCTTCTGCAACCCCCTGCATCCTAGTGGCTTCACGCCTTGCTCGGGGCGTAATGCTTAAAAAAAATTATATTATTCATATTCATTTGTTTATTTTTATCATTTTTTTTTTTGCTCTATATATATTTTGATAGGATTGTATTGTTTGTGTATTTTTTCTTTCGAATGACATTTTGTGGTTATAATATCTTTCTTACAAGTTTTTCTGTGGCCCCTATGTCAATTTTTTCGTCTGTGTTAATGTTTTTTACGATGGCCTTATATATTATGTTATTGGTTCAAAATGTGTAAATGTGGGCAATTTTCTTTGTTTCTGCAGTTACATTTAATGGTGTTATTTTGCTATTTGGTTTTGTTAGATATTTTTTATTGTGCTAAGTTATTATTTTCTCCATGTTATCCATGCAGCTGTAACTAATTTTGATTGTATTTTTGTTGATAATTTTTGATAATTTGCTGTTTTTAGGGAAATGTTTGTCAATTATTTTGAATGATATCTTCCCTATTTTTGTTTTTATTGTATTTTTGGAGAAAGGTTGAACCAAATTATATTTCTTTTTCTGTTTGAATTATTTTCGTTTTTGTTTTCTAGTTTGAATATCCGCTGTTTCTTAAGGCTGATTTATATGATTTTATTTTTATTTTCGAATATTTTTAGGCGATTAATTATTATTAAGAGACATGTTCGTAAGACGAGCATTTGGCTAGAAAGAAAGAAGTAAGAAAGAAAGAAAAAAAGAAAGAAAGAATGTAGAAAGAAAGAAAGAAAGAAAGAAAGAAAGAAAGAAAGAAAGAAAGAAAGAAGATAAAAGTGTTAACGTCTCCTGCCAATATCTCATGAATAATGTAATATTCCTTTTTGGTCGTGTGGAAAGCGGGGAAAAGACACTACTTGATTTCAGGGAGAAAGAAAGAACGAAAGACAGAGAAGAAAGAAAGAAAGAAAGAAAGAAAGAAAGAAAGAAAGAAAGAAAGAAAGAAAGAAAGAAAGAAGTGTTAACGTCTCTTGCCAATATCTCATGAATAATTTACTTTTCCTTTTTGGTCGTGTGGAAAGCGGGGAAAATACACTACTTGATTTCAGCGAAAGAAAGAAAGAAAGAAAGACAGAGAAGAAAGAAAGAAAGAAGTAAGAAAGAAAAAAGAAAGAAAGAAAAAAGAAAGAAAGAAGAAAGAAAGAAAGAAAGAAATGTTTGACGGTTGTTTCAGTAAAATGGATAAAGTTGTCAGTTTCAAATCCTTTCATTTGTACCCCTTTACTTCTTAAAATAACAACCAGTATTCATATTTATGATTGTTATTGCAATATTTTGTTGAAGTTGTTAAGCTCAAATATTTAACGATGCGATCGGGGAATTTCTACGCATATTTTATTGTTGTTGTACAACTCGCTATGAGCGTATTCAATCATTAACTCAAGAATTATGAATCATCAGAAAATTCAAATAGGGTCTTACTAGTCTTCTATTATAAAATTTTAACTAGTATTTCTCAATTTAAATTTCACTTACTTCTTATCGCAATTATTCCGATGGTCAGTCTACGCCCATTGGTATACTATCAATTAGCAATATTGCTTAGAATTGTTATTTGGTCAAACATTGTTAGCCATTATTAATTTCCGTTTAGTATTTCTTTTAACTTGTATTTCTTTCATCTTAATCCTAGTTACTTTTCATACCAACTATTTAGATGGTCAGTCCAGTCAACGACGCCCATTGATAAACAAGTGGTAATGTTTTCTTGAATGTTATATGTAAATGTAGTATTGTCAGCCATTATTAATTTTTGACTAGTAATTCTTTCATCTTAATTCCAGTTACCTTTCATACCAACTATTTAGATGATCAGTATACAACGACAAATAGTATTGTTTTCTTGAATGTTATTTGTAAATGTAGCATTGTCAACCATTATTAATTTTTAATCTTTTACTAGAGATTTATCAGAATATTAAAAGAGGAAAAGCATGAAATTTCCACTGGTCTTTCTACTATATATAATTTTTTTTGTATTATTCGTTCTATAATCACTATCGTTCAGGTTGTTTTGTTCACCATTACTCGTAAAATAATAATGATAATAATAACTATAATAATAATAATATTGACTTCGCCCTGTATCCCAAACAGTTGGTTCAGTGACTTGTGAGATGGTTCGCGCCATTACAAATACCACGGATTTGGGTGAGCATTTCGTGCCAAAAAATAGGATTGCGGATTTAGAAATTGTTAAGTTCTGGAATGTTATTCTCGCCTTGGGTGAAGCACACTAAGTAAAATGCCGCCCTAGAAGTTGACCTTGAACAAGATGTCCACTGTTTGCATTTCTGGCACGCAACCACGCGACTCTTGCGGGTGCGTACGCGCGTGAAAATTAATGTTTTTTTTACATATACCCCGCACTCTCTTTCATTTTATGTATATGTATGTATGTATGTATGTATGTATATGTGTGTGTGTGTGTCTGTCTGTCTGTCTGTCTGTTTTTCACTTCTCTTTTTCAGACTCTCTCTCTCTCCTTCTCTCTCTCTCTCCTTCTCTCTCTCTCGCCTTCTCTCTCTCTCTCTAGTTCACTTAGCTTTCTCTTTCGACCTTCCCCTCTTCTTTTATTATCTTCCTTTTGCTCTCTCGTTGGTTTACGCATTCTCTCTTTCGACTTTCCTTGTTATTTTTTTTCTTTCTATTTCTTTCCTTGGTTAGTTTACGCTCTCTTACGTTTTCTCTCTTTCGAACTTCTTCTCTTCTTTTATCTCTCTCTTTCTAGTTCGTTTACACACTCTTTCTAGCTTTCTCACTTCTGTCAACTCTCTCTCTCTCTCTCTCTCTCTCTCTCTAGCTTGCTTACGTTTTCTCTCATTCGGACTTCCTCTCTTTCGGGCTTTATCTCTCTTTCTCTAGTTCATTTATGCATTCTTCCTTTCGACCTTTCTCTCTTTTTTATATTTATCTCTCCTTTTTACTTATGCTTTTCTCTTACGACTTTCATTTCTTCTATCTCTGTCTTCCTCCCTCTATGTGTCTCTCTTTCATTCCTCCTCTCTTATCTCTTTCGTTCGTTTACGCATTTTCTTCTTTTCTTCCTCTCTCTCTCTCTCTCTCTAGTTCCTTTACACTTTCTCTCTTTCGATGTCCTCCTCTTTTATCTTTATATGTCTTTCTTTGCCTTATTTTTTATTTCTGAGTTTTCAACATTCTTTTAACTTTCTCTCTCTCCATCTCTCTTTCTTTGTCTATCTCTCTCCTTTCTCTCTGTATTCCTATTTTATTCTGTCTGTATTTTCTTTCTCTCTCTCTCTCTCACACACACACACACACACACACACACACGCTTTTTGCTTCATAACTCTCTCTCCCTCTCTCCTTCTCTAAGTATATTGTCATGTTTATGTATGTTCCTTCGTGCGTGAAAAAGTGTGTTATGTGTGTGTGTGTGTGTGTGTGTGTGTATGTGCGTCCGTATACAAGTCAGAGATAAAAAGCGTGATGTGTGTACATATGCATGTATGTGTATTCTGATCTCTGTCTGTCTGTCTGCCTCTCTCCCTCTCTCTATTTCTCTCAATACTCAACAGTTTTTAATCATCAATGTGTCACTTGTCCGTTTCTTCCACTAAATAAGCATATATGACTTTTCAGCACTACATGATACAGGGATTGAACTCACAAATTCTAAGGAGCCAGAAATTTTTTAATCAATGCTTTAATTCAATAGGTATAGTTTAAAACATATCGGATTCCCTGGCAGTTCGGAGTTCAAATCTTGGGTCTGGAAATACTGAAAGGTCATATGCTCTAATTCAGTGGAAGAAACGAACAAGTAACACAATGGTGACCAAGAGTGGTGAGTACTAACTGGTAAGAGTTATCTCCCCTAAATATGGAATGTGGAATGACAACAATCTACCAAACCAAACGTGGACTGAATAATAATTTTGACTCAAAATTCCCAGAAAATTACTGAGTAAAGGGCAGACACCTGAAGAAGGCCGGAGATTATAGCAGATGAACATGGTAATGATAATGGTAATATTAGCCGCTTCCTTATAAGGAAACATTCACCATTCATTGACCAAGTAGCCAATGCTACTGTTGCTTGAAATTTATAAACTAATTAAAAGAATTTTTTCAAGAAAATAGGTGTCCTAAGTCCAGTTAATGTTATTGCTCTTTCTAGTATTGATGATGGGGGCTTCCTTCCTTGCTTTTTATTTGGGGTAAAGGGAAACATTAGAATTTCTATTGTCATTATTCTCTTTTTGAGTTATATGTGCTATCCATTTTAGTTGTTGCTGCTTTTGAAAGTTCTTAAGTGATGAGATAGATAGATAGATAGATAGATAGATAGATAGATAGATAGATAGATAGATAGATATGAACTGAGAGAGTGAGTGAGAAATAGGTATGAAGAGACTGATAGCTAGATAGATATGAAGAGGCTGAGATAGAGAGATAGAAATATGAAGAGACTGAGGGTTAGATAGATAGATAGATAGATAGATAGATAGATAGATAGATAGATAGATAGATAGATAGATAGATAGATATGAAGAAACTGAGAGGGTGAGTGAGAGATAAGTATGAAGAGACTGATAGCTAGAGAGATATGAAGAGGCTGAGATAGATAGATAGATAGATAGATAGATAGATAGAAATATGAAGAGACTGAGGGTTAGATAGAGATAGATAAATAGATAGATAGATAGATAGATAGATAGATAGATAGATAGATAGATTCATTTTCTACGGCTTATTAGCCCTTTGCAGGTTATTTAAAACCAAAAAGTTATTTTAGATGATAATGATTTAGTGATAAAAGTCTTACTAGTTAACCCATACCTGGGGGGGGGAGAGGTAGCTTCTAACCTTTCCCAAGGGTATTTGTATGTAAATGAACATAACAAACCCAACTGGAATTGGAACTCTGCTTTCTGATTAACAATTCCAAGCCATTATCCATTACACCAAAGCACATCCAAGCTTATAGCACGTAGTATTCCAAAGTAGTCACCCATTTAGGTACTGACCAGGCTCAGTGCTGCTTAACTTTAGGGATCATACGAGAACCAGTGTTTGAAGATGATGTAACCATAAGTCAGATAGATAGATGGTAATGGCAATATTATCCGTTTCCTTATAAGGAAACATTCATCATTCATTGACTCTGCAGACAGTGCTACTTTCTGTTAAAATTTACAAAATCTTTCAATTAAAATCATTTTTCAGAAAAATATGTTCCTTATATCCACTGTTATCGGTCTTTCCAGTACTGATGGGGGCTTTTTTCCTAGCCTTTTTCTTTGAAGTAGTGTCAACATCTTGATTATGTCATTATTTTCTCTTCTCAAGCCCAGTAGCTGTTATCGCTCTTCCCAGTACTGATGGAGGTTTCCTTCCTAACCTTTTGTTTGAAGTGGTGTGGAATGTCAACATCTTGATTATGTCATTATTTTCTCTTCTCAAGCCCAGTAGCTGTTATCGCTCTTCCCAGTACTGATGGAGGTTTCCTTCCTAACCTTTTCTTTGAAGTGGTGTGGAATGTCAACATCTTGATTATGTCATTATTTTCTCTTCTCAAGCCCAGTAGCTGTTATCGCTCTTCCCAGTACTGATAGAGGTTTCCTTCCTAACCTTTTGTTTGAAGTGGTGTGGAATGTCAACATCTTGATTATGTCATTATTTTCTCTTCTCAAGCCCAGTAGCTGTTATCGCTCTTACCAGTACTGATGGAGGTTTCCTTCCTAACCTTTTGTTTGAAGTTGTGTGGAATGTCAACATCTTGATTATGTCATTATTTTCTCCTCGAGTTACATTTGCTATCCATTTTACTTGTTGCTGCTGTTGAAAGTCCTCCAGTGATGAGGTTTCAGTTATTTTCTAAAGTTGTAATTATGTAGCGCCAGGCCATGAGGTTCAAAAATACGGTGGTCCTCACTAAGATCTACCTACTTCATTACTTAAAACTATAATGGTGGTCTGAAAAGCAAAGAATGTAATAATAATAATTCCTCATCTTTTCGCAATAATTATTATTATTATTAGTAGTAGTAGTAGTTGTGTGATCTTGGCGGTAATAGACACAGCTCGTTGATCTTAACAACAAAACCAAAAAGAGGATCAAGAAATGTGAAATGTTGGACATTCCAGAAACAGAATTGGCAGTTTATCTTACTCTCTCAGAGAAAAAAAAGTCAGAAATTTGAGTAATCAGACAAATATTGAGCACTAGCAGTAGAGCCCGGCGTTGCCCGGGGATATAACAGTAAGAGATAGATCAAGTATCCACCATCATAAAGACTGAAAAATAAAAATTGACAAAGATTATTGTTTAAGGTTGACGGACACGCATGTCTTAATTAGTTTTATTTTTTTTTTTTTTACGAATTGGTCAAACCCAAACTCAAACAAAATCATTGTTTTCAATCGTTATAAGTCTACCGATTGAATTGAATTTTATTATAAACAATTGTCTTGTAAATGGAATTTTTAAAGCATTCTGAATGTAAAAATAAAGAAAAAAGTGTGCAAGACAATAAGAAACACTAACTGCCCAAAAAAAGTGAAGTTTTGTTGAAATCGGTTGAAAAATGTAGGAAATTCGATCCCATATATAAACGAACACACACACACACACACACACACACAAACCTGGGTTTTATAATATGTATAACTCGATATGAGTTGTCCCCCTTTCATTCTCGTGATGCCTCTTAATCATGTTTTCAAATTGATTTCATGCAAAAACAATTGTTTTTTCAATTTTTGGCACTGTTAGAACCACCACAAGGTAATTTTATGTAGTCCTGTGAAGTTTTGTTGAAATCGGTTGAAAAATGTAGGAAATCCGATCCAATATATAAACGTACAGACACACACACACACACAATCTGCATTTTATAATAAGTAAGATTAATACTGACCAATCATGGGTGCCTTGGCATCGGGCAATGGTTAACAAGCTAATCCACTGAATACTAAGTTCAGGTTTGGGTTTTTTTGGTTTGGTTTATGGCATATCAACTTCAATGGGTTATTTAATGCCAACAAAATTTTTATTGCTGGTAATATTTTTTCCCAAAAATATATTGCTGGTAATATTTTTTTTTTCTTCAAAAATCTATTTCTGTTTTATTTTTTCAAAAAATGTATAGCTGGTAATATTTTGATTTGCTTTTTCAAAAATATGTAGTCAGTAATTTTTTTTTTTTAAAGTATTGCTTGTAATAATTTTTTCCTTCAAAAAATTATGGCTGGTAATAATTTTTTTTATAAAGTATTTCTGGTATTAAAAACTATTTTTACACTTTTATAGTATTTTGAGTTTGGTTAACTATTTACCCATAGCTGGAACCCTAACAGGTGCTACCACCTCGGATGGACCTGGGAACACCAGCAATTAAGAGATAGTTCCATGTTCCTCAAAACCTCCTGATCATAACCCTTGCTGTTGGATATAGTTTATAGTCTTACCCAGGATGCGGATGTAGTTTATCGTCATACCCAAGTTCTCCCTGCAAGCCTTATGCTTATGAACTTGTAAGACAATTATTTTCAGCTTAATAAATAGTACTAGGAGGCTGTGTGGGGGTAATAGTTAATGAGCTATTCTGATGAGCTATTATTGCTGCATAGTGAGATCAATTTTCACTGGATGACCTATATCTGTGGTCTTGTCCCAAATCTAAGCTCAGTTTAGTAAATAGTACTAGGTGACTGTGTGGGGCAATGATTAACAAACTAGTCTGGTGCACAATTAATTCTGCAAGTATGATGCCCCATAGTTGTGGTCTTGTGCAAAAACTAAGTTCATCTTATTAAATTGTAATGGTGACTCAGTGTAGGGTGATGGTTAGCGAACTCGTCTTGTGAGCTATTACTGCTTTGTAATGAGATCAATTCTCACTGGATGCCCATACATTCAGACATGTTTCAAAACTTAAATGATGAATGGCATTAGGTACCTCAGTGTGGTGTAATGGTTAACAAGCTAGTCTTGTAATCAATATTGATTGATATTCATTGGGTTCTTCATACTAGTGGCCTTGAGCCCAAACTAGGCTCAGTTAAGTAAATAGCAATTCTGGTCAATCAGAAATAATAACTCTACACAAGTTTCTTCATTGAAACAATTTCCAATGAAACAATCATCAATTTTAATCAATATTTCAATTAATAATCAATCATTTGACAGCAAATAATTTCTGCTGGTCATGCAATCATTACTAATGGGTAGTGAGTTCAATCCTCATGAGATGCTGTATTTGTGTTGTTTTTTTTTTGCAAGCTTATATTAAGGCTTACAGTGCCACAGAATTAAAACAATGCTTAGCAAGTTATTCCAGTCATGGGTTCAGTCCTTACTGAGCACTCAAATAGTTGGCCTTGTTCCATACTAACTTTCAACCAATAACAATTTCTAGCTACAACAATAACAATTTTGAAAGCAGTTTAATTTTTTACTGGAGGGCTGTACAAAAAGTAAATGTAAATAACAATAGAAAATTACCAACAGACAAAGAGGTTGATGAGGTCAGACTGTGAGGAACAAAGGTGAAAAGAGAAAAGTCTCATTACCTAACAACATTGTAACTGGACAGGAATTATCAGTGTTGAAAAATCAGCATTTAAGGTCCCTGAAAAATGAAGTGATGCTATTTACTATGCTTAGCCTTCAGCAAGGAGGAACAACAAGCCTAGAAAATCAGCATCTAGACATTTTGAGCCTGCTTGTAGCAAGCTAAGTTTAGAAAATAGCAACACTTCAGATTTCAGAGAAACCAAATGCTGATTTTCTAGTAAAGTTGACTCTGCTTACAGCAAGCTAAACTTAGTAAATAGCAACACTTCAGGAGGGTCTACATGCCTGAAAAATGAAGTGATGCTATTTACTATGCTTAGCCTTCAGCAAGGAGGAACAACAAGCCTAGAAAATCAGCATCTAGACATGTTGACCCTGCTTGTAGCAAGCTAAGTTTAGAAAATAGCAACACTTCAGATTTCAGAGAAACCAAATGCTGATTTTCTAGTAAAGTTGACTCTGCTTACAGCAAGCTAAACTTAGTAAATAGCAACATTTCAGGAGGGTTACATGCCTTGTAAAAAAATGAAGTGATGCTATTTACTATGCTTAGCCTTTCAGCAAGGAGGAACAACAAGCCTAGAAAATCAGCATCTAGACATGTTGACCCTGCTTGATTTAGCAAGCTAAGTTTAGAAAATAGCAACACTTCAGATTTCAGAGAAACAAAATGCTGATTTTCTAGTAAAGTTGACTCTGCTTACAGCAAGCTAAACTTAGTAAATAGCAACACTTCAGGAGGGTCTACATGCCTGAAAAATGAAGTGATGCTATTTACTATGCTTAGCCTTCAGCAAGGAGGAACAACAAGCCTTCAGCAGGAGAAAATCAGCATCTAGACATGTTGACCCTGCTTGTAGCAAGCTAAGTTTAGAAAATAGCAACACTTCAGATTTCTGAGAAACCAAATGCTGATTTTCTAGTAAAGTTGACTCTGCTTACAGCAAGCATCTAGACATTTTAAACTTAGTAAATAGCAACACTTCAGGAGGGTCTACATGCCTGAAAAATGAAGTGATGCTATTTACTATGCTTAGCCTTCAGCAAGGAGGAACAACAAGCCTAGAAAATCAGCATCTAGACATGTTGACCCTGCTTGTAGCAAGCTAAGTTTAGAAAATAGCAACACTTCAGATTTCAGAGAAACCAAATGCTGATTTTCTAGTAAAGTTGACTCTGCTTACAGCAAGCTAAACTTAGTAAATAGCAACACTTCAGGAGGGTCTACATGCCTGAAAAATGAAGTGATGCTATTTACTATGCTTAGCCTTCAGCAAGGAGGAACAACAAGACTAGAAAATCAGCATCTAGACATGTTGACCCTGCTTGCAGCAAGCTAAACTTAGTAAATAGCAACACTTCAGGAGGGTCTACATGCCTGAAAAATGAAGTGATGCTATTTACTATGCTTAGCCTTCAGCAAGGAGGAACAACAAGACTAGAAAATCAGCATCTAGACATGTTGACCCTGCTTGCAGCAAGCTAAACTTAGTAAATA